CGTAACACGACCCTTACTCCCTATTCAAATTATTGAGGGGGTTGATTATATCGTTAGACTTGAATCGAAGTCCACCAAATTGAGTCACCTCATCCATGTCATGGATATATCACATTAACAACCTACCGGACTCACGTTTACCAAAAATATGTTTCAAACGCCTTATGCAATTACGTGAGAATATGGATGTTAGGTATAATTGGGTAAGTCAAATCGAACAATACACGAACATTACTGGACAAGTAAACTTTCTTATTGAGAACTTTGGAGCTTTTGATTTGAAAAAAAAAGGTGCGGACATTCTTGAATCATACAAAAATTATCTTTTACATGATGATTAAAACAGACTGAATGACTCAACGTATCCATATATTTATAATCATTTCACAAGCCAAAATGGTTTATTTTATCTGAAACTTCTCAGCGTAATCAGAATGATTTGTCAATTACGAACTTGTAGTACGAACTTGTAGTAAAGATCAGATCACTCTCTCATACAGAGGAATGTACTACAAAATTGTTTTTACTCAGCTCTGCACAATTTGCAATATGTACAGGAATGCGAGTCTAGAACATATTTTTTTCGATTGTGCGCTTTATGAAAACTTGAGGAATCCATTAAGGCCGAGTATTGCAAAGCTGGCTGATCTTGTTGATGCCCTTGACACTGGTACATCCAAAACTCTTTTCATAATCTTCAACTATTTAATTAACATACTCAAACTACGTTCCTTCATAATAAACGAATGAATTCAAATTTGACCCCTATATGTTTTTTTTGCCACCCCAAATTTCCGCTAACTTTGACACATCTACTTTGTGTTTTTTTTTCTTTCTGCAGTTTTTCTGTTTCCACTTTCTATCAATTAAATAAGCACCTCGTCACAATATAACAATATATGCATGTGTGTATGTATGATTGTATGTGTATATATTATATACCGGGTGGCTACGGAAGTATTGCCTACGGAATATCTCAGTTATTGTATGAAGTAGGTTTGTGAAATTTGAAGCGTCGATATAATGACATAAGAGCTAGAATTTGAGCATATTGACATGTCGAAGTTAACTTCCGGTCTGAACCGACTTTCTTATTTCAAATGGAAACCCTATTTTTTTTCTTTTCGCTTCATTCAGCATTCAATTCCCTTTCTAATGACATATCACAAGCTGGTATCTAACCAGAAACTAGATCAGAAAAAAATTATAATTGAAATTCACCGAGTAGGCCGTGGAAGCAAAATGAAAGCCAAAAAATGACATTCTATTATATCATTAGAAAGGAATGGTTATGCTGAATAGTACAGGCAAGAAAAAGTTGTATGTTCCTATTTAAGTTATGGACCTACAGAGTATTGTTTTTTTCCCAATTTTTCCAATATTTTTTTTGCGGCAATTTATAACGCCGACGAATGAAAATAAAATATCACAGTAGTAGCAACTGTTATCAAGTGACGTATGGTTTCCATAGCTAACTTTTCAATTTTTGGCTTTCATTTTGCTTCCACGGCCAACTCGGTGAATTTCAATAATAATTTTTTTCTGATCTAGTTTCTGGTTAGATACCAACTTGTGATATGTCATTAGAAAGGGAATTGAATGCTGAATAAAGCGAAAAGAAAAAAAAATAGGGTTTCTATTTAAAATAAGCAAGCTGATGTTACTTCCGGTCAGACCGGAAGTTAACTTCGACATGTCAATATGCTCAAATTCTAGCTCTTATGTCATTATATCGACGCTCCAAATTTCACAAACCTACTTCATACAATAACTGAGATATTCCGTAGGCAATACTTCCGTAGCCACCCGGTATATATTATCCAAGTATTCAGTGAAAAAAAACTATGAACCAAACCTCTAGTGATAAGAATGTAAATTTTCTTTGACACAATAAATGAAATTGAAAATTGAATTGAATTGAAATTATTGAGGGGGTTGCTCTGGGGAGTAGAGGGTTCAAGTATGGATAATTTATTTCGGGTCAAAAGGTGTCCCCCTCCATATGAAAATCGACCTGTTTCGTAATTTTTCTGTAAAATTATAATTCTGGGAGATATCGAAGGTGGATAGTCTTAAATGGACCACCCGACCACCCGGTATACTACGTGTGGTCTAGTATTGCACGTTGACCCCTTATATGGACGTCAGTAATAAATAAAAATAAATTTAGATAATGTGTTGATCAATTACAAACTGGCAGATTATATGTTGCAAGTAGCGGACTGATGATAGGAAGTATTTGGGTAAGGGTATTATCAATACGAAAAGAACATTCAAATGATAGGTACCTGAATATTTCCGGAAACTTTTGATTGAGTAATTCAGACTTTTTTCCACCACTAGCTAAATAACCTATACCATTATGTACAGTCGTATTCAATAAAAAATAAACGTACAAGTATTAAAAAGAGAGGATTTCGGGATCCTCGTTCTAGTTGTGTAAAACTGGCTCAGCCAATACTTTGTGTTTTCGATGCTCAAAGTGAAATGAAATGTTAAATAAATACAAAGAGCTCAAAGTCATTATTTCCACACAATGTTCATAAAATAAACAACAATGGTATATTTCGGGAGAAAAACAACTAATTTCCTGGCTAATGCCACGCAGGATATTGAATTACATCCTTCCAAAATCTATGCATCGACTCGTACATAAAGGAATACTGACACAAATGATTCTTTCCTGAATGCCTATTGATTTCGATGTAACCAGGCCACGCTAGACACCTAGAGACCGGTTTTGAGCTCTTTGACTCTCATCAGTGCAGGGCAGTCTCCAGCCAGCAGTCATAAGACCGCCGACTAAGCGTAGCCTAGCTAAAGAAACGAAAAGTCGGCATTATATTCCCTCAGACTCAGAGCAACGCCATCTGAGTAGAATAGAAGGAAAGAAACACTCCAAAATCAAAATTCCCATACGGAAGTAGCTGGTTGCCCGACTGGCGTAATTTCAACTACGAAATAGCCACAATGCTCAGAGTGGAATGAAATATGTTAAATAAATACAAGAAGCTCAAAGTCATTTCCACACAATGTTCATAAAATGATCAACAATGATAGATTTCGGGAAAGAAAAACAACTACTTTTCTGGCTAATGCCACGCAGAACATCGAATGACATCCTCCCGAAATGTATGCATCGTTTGGTTAGGCTACGCTTAGTCGGCGGTCTTAGGACTGCTGGCTGAAGACTGCCCTGCGCTGATGAGAGTCAAAGAGCTCGAAACCGGTCTGTAGGTGTCTAGCGTAGCCTGGCTAAATCGAAATCAATAGGAAAGAATCACTTGTATCAGTATTCGTTTATACGAGTTGATGCATAGATTTCGGTAGGATGTAATCAAATGTACTGCGCGGCATTAGCCAGGAATGTAGTTGTTTTTCTCGTGAAGTATACCATTATTGTTTATTTCATGAACATTGTGTGGAAATAACTTTTTGCTTTTTGTATTTATTTATAATGGTTAATAATTTCGATGAATGTAAACTCAAATAATGTAAGAAACTTCTGGCAGAAGGACACCCATTTAATACATTGATGAATTCTAAATTGTTGAGGAGTTCTTAAAATTTTAAAAAATGGGTGTCCTTTAAGGTATAATTATTATTTTATATAGCATGTCATTGTCCGTTGTTTGTCCATTTTGTTTTTGTTTTTTGTGAACTGACTAGTCTGATAGGACGGTGCATTGTACTATATCTTTGTTATATATGTGTAATAATGTATATATACTTAATCCGAATAGATGAATAACATTCTTTTTTTCTTTCTTTCAATTGAATTCCTGGAAGTTACATTTGTATTTCAGGAAATATCATTTGACATTCAATCGACGTTTCCTGAAATTCAATTGACCGTTTCTGAAATACAATAGACGCTTTCCGTTTCCAGGTGTATTTCAAGAAGCGTCAACTGTTTTTCAGAATAGGCTGTCAAATAAATCCTACGGAAGAATCAAAAATATTACTTACCGTGCAAGCCAATTAACCATACTTCATTCATTTTTCTCTGATGTTTTCAAATATCGAAACGGATCTACAAAATTTTGCATCACAGGGTGTTGTTTTTTAAATAAAAGAAGTTTTCTGTTCTCCCTTAAGACGGATCTGGATTCTGATCCTGATTTTCATTTTGTTTTGATGGGTAGTATAGGTGAAATATTCCTCCCTCGTATGGATATATTATACAAAGTGGTTCAAAAGTTATCATGACCAGATGAAGATTTTGACAAAATCAAGATTACGTCCTGTATCTCAGTTATAAAAGACGGTAGACACATCCGAGGTGGTGATTTGGAACAATCAAAGTGTTCTCTATCTACGAGTAGCGTATGTACATTAAAATCTGAAACACCCTGTATAACTGCTAGATCTCATAACTAAGAGATCCAGGATGAACAGAGTTGCCCCAATTGTCAGCATGAGCGAGACAGTACTGTTTCGACCCACCAGGTCTCATCAGCCGCTCTCGGTCTTCGGGTATATCACCCATTTCGAAGACGCAGGTATAACACGAAGTTATATTCATGACTATATGAGAGCGGCTGATGAGACCTGGTGGGTCGAAACAGTACTGTCTCGCTCCTGCTGACAATTGGGGCAACTCCGTTCATCCTGGATCTCGTTGTTATGAGATCTAGCAGTTGAATAGGTGGTGGAAAAATTCCACTCAAATATGTCAGGTAGTGCCATCTGTCAGCAGAGTGGTTTACTTGTAGTACCACTCTGTAGCGTATAGACGTAGAGGTCTGTACGTGTGACTATAGATGGCAGCGCCATACAGTGTGTGTCGTGATTTCTGTATCCTACCTTAGAGCTTTGCCACTAGATGGCTACAACATGACTATAACTTCATGTTATACCCTGCGACACCCTGCTGATATATTTCCAATTAGTAATGAAACACCTTGTATATGCTAGCGAGATTGGATGAAAATCATACGAGACATAATTTCAGTTGATATAAGATGATATATCGAATACGAAAAATAACTATTTTTCAGAATGCAGTGGAGAACCTTTTCGAAAATGAATTTTCCGTTGTTCATCACCTGTTTGCTGCCCTTCATAACCAGTGCCGGAATATTATCACCCACGAGTGGTCGTAGAGGTAATTATTATATTTATATCATTTATATATAAATCTTAATGTCGTACAAAAATATTGTCACGACCTATGGTTACAGAGTGGTGCTCGGGGTGGTGACTCGGGGGTGAAATCGCTTAGGAGGCCGAGAAATGAAAATAGTTATTCGTCATACAGCTACAATTTATTTAACAAAAATAGTTTCATCAGTGGTTCAGATAAACTAGGCTCAAAACAAACTTACATCAGACTTCGCAAAACAGAGAATCATTTCTTGTGTCATGCGTTATGCGTTAGTACTTACAAAATTATCTCGAGAAGACGCAGGGGACGAACCATAGTGAGTGCTGGCTGATCAGATCCAAACTGTGCTCTGCCTTATCGGCTGATCGATATTCATTCAGAATATTTTGACAAAGTCGGAGTTTCACTCCATAATATGCGAGTATTTCATTCCTGTTGACTGAGCTGCCAACGTGAGTGAAACATACGCGTTTCCTCTAGGGGTCTATTCAGTCATAACTTATCGTTAGAATACGATATTGTCAACCATAACGATACATTGACCAACGACATTTTCAACGATAAGTTCTAAAAGCTTATTCAGTATCGATGTCGTTAGAGAAAAATCTGGAGACATGGTAATCAAATTATCTTTCCACATTCACCACTCTCTGCCAATTTTAATATAATTTTTCATGTCTCCTTCTTGTAATGACAAAAAATGGCTCCAAAGACACCTCAGCCGACGTCGTCTACAAACGATAAGTATTGTCGTACAGGTGCGACAATCGTTAGCTACAGAATAGCAATTATCGTTCCGTAACGATTATCGTTCGCTAGTAGTAGTAGTAGTAGTAGTAGTATTGTGGGGAGGCTGTGGCCAGGTAAGTAGGCCCCCATGGGCCCTTTTTGCCAACCCCTGTTCTCCACATATCTACACATCCCTCTTTTAGTTGTCCTTTTCGAACCTTCCCGTCCTTCTGATGAAGGTCAGGATGTCCGTCCACTCTAATTCGGCCAAATCTTCCTGTTGTAGTTTATCTACTCCAAAGATTTCGAATCTCATCCTTCCATACGCCTCACACTCTCATAGGAAGTGAAGTGATGTCTCCTCATCTTCTCCGCATTCACGGCAAGTGGGACTATCTTCCACACCTATGAGTGATAGGTGTCTGCGTAACTTGTTGTGCCCTGTCAGCACCCCTATAAGAAGGACTTGGCGATCTCTGCCCAGTAACCAAGCCGTCTTTGGCTTGCTTGGACCGGCCACCAGGTCTCTCGATTGCCTGCAGCCGCCTTTACGCCTCCAATATCCTTCTAGTGCCTCGTCCGCCCATTTGTTAAGGGCAGATGAAGTTTGGCTCCTTGTTATGCCCAGTGCAGGCTCCGGTCCCCAGAACGGTATCGCGGATCCGATTCTAGCCAGCTCGTCGGCCACCTCATTCCCGGGCACCCCCCTGTGATCCGGAACCGATCGTTCGCTAACGATGTCGTTAAGCGTTGTAGAATTACCCCCTCAATCGAATGTTATAGGATGAAATGAACTTTATCGATGAAATCTTTTCTTGAATCAATATAATTTCGAATATAGTAGCTACATATAATAAAATATTTTTGGTTCCTATCGTGACAATATTTAATCAAAATAAGTTTTCGAAAAGCTCGTGCTTACTCTGGTGATGATATATTTTGGGAAACAAAATTATTCGACCTGCGACACTTATTATATTCCCAACCTAATGTGTAATTTTGGCATTACTAACGTCATTATTGACTTCCTGCCCTCACTTATGTAATATTTGAGGTATGTTCAGAACGAAACAGAGGTTTATTATAATTCTTATTGAAATATGATGGTTGTAAATAAAATAGTATACAAACCTCGGTTAAGAGGTTTCATTCCTGTCTCACGACAGGAATGAATCTCTTCCCACCTCGGTGTGTAATATACTATCGTTTGAGTATTCTTCAAAATATAATAAAAGGAAGCATTACTTTTGAATCGGAAAATCATGAACCTAATAGATGCAAGGAATACAAATAACTTATCCGCAGTGAAAAACCATGAAGGTCCGATAAACTCCACTTACCTATAGGACCCAGATTAATCAGCTCATTGTCAATCTCTATACGAAATACACAGTCACCATTGAAATTTAAAAATGAAGTGAAAACTCCATAGTTTTTTGTTCGCCTTCTCAACTATGTCATTATCGTCCTGTACAATTTTATCATTACTAACATTCATGTAAAACAACCTCACCAAAGATGTGGGTAAAACTTCATTGCAGAATCAATGTTACTTAATGATATATTGTTGTAGTTCCCTGTTGATGAAAATACAATATTCCGAAAGCTTTGACAAACTTGAGAGTACCCTTTTCACTTTGCATACCTCAATGAACCTAGTTTTACCATATATATGTATATACAGGGTCTCTCACGGTCGATGGTACGTTAGACGTTTATGGAGAACGAGACATAGGATCATTTTGAAATTTTGGTTACTCACGTAATTGCTCTTGGTCTATCGATCTAAAATATTTTCAGCTCTGCGGCGTTGCCGCTTCTATCGAAAAGTAGTAACAACTTTGTTATTTTGAACAGAACACCCTGTATTTTATTGCATTTTCAGATTCTCTCTGAAGAGCTGATTTCATCGATGTATCACAGTTGGGGTCTAGCGGCAATTATTACAGAGATATAGGGTGTGAAAAATCGACATTTTTCAACTTTAGGAATTTTTTTTATCGAAACTATTCAGTACTGGTCGAAACGGCTCACATGTACCTATCTCGACTTTTGATTAACTATCTACTGATATTAAATTGGGACATATACCGGGTGATCAAGATTCTGAATTCTGCACCACCCTGTATTTGTTTCAATTAAATGTCAGTAGATAGTTGATCGAAAGTTGAGACAGAGACATGTAAGCCGTTTTGACCAATAATGAATAGTTTCGACAAAAAAAAATCCAAAAGTTGAAAAATGAAGATTTTTCACACCCTATATCTCTGTAATCATTTCCGCTAGACCCCAAGTGAGATACATCGATGAAATCAGATCTTCACAGAGAGAATCTGAAAATGCAATAAAATACAGGGTATTCCATTTAAAATAACAAAGTTATTGCTACTTTTCGATAGAGGCGGCAACGCCGCAGAGCTGAAAATATTCAAGATCGAAAGACCAAGAGCAACTACGTGAGTAACCAAAATTTCAGAATGATCCCTTGTCTCGTTCTCCAGTGGGTGACTGATCTCTGACAGGGTCATTGGTTTTTCCAGAAATTACATTAACTTCGATTTTTCCAATGGAACATCCTATATAATTTACGACATGTAGATAGAGCCTTTTTTTATTTAGAAGTTGTGTGGAGAGGGTTATTTCAATGTTATCAACTTTCGAAAGATTTATCTTAGCTAGACACACATTTTTGACTCACCCTTTCTAAGTATCGATTCTCGCAGGGAATATCCGCGAACGTTCGACCTCAAATTATGGAATAAAGAAAGAGGACCTGGAAAGCGCGGTGACGTTCGCTTACCACACCACGAACATGTCCGAGCGATTGGAGGACAACATCAAAGGACGAGTCGGCATCAGCAATGGTTCGCCCTCTTTCGGGCTGAACATCGCTTACAGATCGGAAGATAGAGCGATTGAGAGGGGTAGAAAGGCCCTGATAGCTGCGAGAGCTACCGTTCAGTTGGCCAACATGTTTTGCATGAGGTAAGTGGACACTTAACACTTTGACTGCCACGCCAAATTCGATGTGTGGGTTGCTCACGCCACGTGTCTTTCATTCCACAATGAGAAAGAAGAATATACCTTGAAAAATAATTCAACTCTGATCGAAAACCCAAGCTAAGATTATTTTGTCATCTCCCTAGGCCACGACAAATCATATCCCACAAGAAATGCACGTAAAGCGTGCTACTCTAGCATACACACGGCGAACAGCGAATCATTGATGAACGCATATGTATACTGGAATATACACGTGGCGACCTGGGCCAAGCCACTGTGTAAACCCAAAGATGCACATGGCAGTTAATGTGATTCATTTACCTCTACTACCAATATGTAATGTGAAAAATCAGCATACGCCACTGATTTGAGTTTCCTTATGAGATTAATCACCGCACTAGTGCGGAATAGTAATTTATTCACAACGATATACAGGTTGTCCCACTAAGGTCGGCGAGGTACGATATCATGGAATCCATAAACCTCAGGACTCCGCGAAAAAAAAAAATTGAGGACCAAATCGGCCAAGAAAAATTGATAGAAAATATTTTCAAGTTCATAAAACGACCGCTAGGGGCGCAATCTTTATGATAAAACTAAAATTTCTATTTTTCTCGAAAATCACTAATTCAAGGTACTGTTTCAATAACGGAAATGCAGAGTTCATTGAAATTCGCGTCAGTTTGTTCCTGGACTTTTTTTCATATCTTGAAAAATAAAGGTGGGGGAAGCTGGTGAAGAAATCATTTTTGAAAACGCTTCATCTCCGATATCCTTTCTCCAAATTTGATCAACTTGGGCTCATTTGGAAGAGAATTTCACACCAATTTGAACACTGAATTTGACATTGATCTCTAGTTCACACAGTGTCTACTAGATGGCGTCGTTCACCCAAGATTCTGTTTTTTGATTTTTTCCAAAAAAATCAAATGGAATGCGACATATTTTGATCACCAGATCCAAAACACATAAAATAAGCTACATTTTGGCGGAAACCGCGATTCGATATACTCATCCGTTTTCGAGTTATTTTATTCAAAAGAAATCATGTTCACATAACAAATCTCCTATTCCTCTACTTCTATCGTGATACCTATGGACATAATCGTACTTCAATCAAACTAGTTGCTTAGCAACTGTAATATAGTAATGTAGTTTGACAAAGGTAAATTTGAAATTTCGTTGAAAATATCTTTTGAATAAAATAACTCGAAAACGGATGAGTATATCGCATCGCGATTTTCGCCAAACTGTAGCTCATTTTATGCGTTTTGGATCTGGAGATCAAAATATGTAGCAATCCATTTGATTTTTCTGGAAAAAAAAAATTGAATCTTGGGTGAACGACGCCATCTAGTAGACCCTGTGTGAACTAGAAATCAATGTGAAATTCAGTGTTCGAATTGATGTGAAATTCTCTTCCAAATGAGCCCAAGTTGATCAAATTTGGAGAAAGGATATCGGAGATGAAGCGTTTTCAAAAATGATTTCTTCACCAGCTTCCCCCACCTTTATTTTTCAAGATATGAAAAAAAGTCCGGGAACAAACTGACGCGAATTTCAATGAACTCTGCATTTCCGTCATTGAAACAGTACCTTAAATTAGTGATTTTCGAGAAAAATAGGAATTTTAGTTTCATCATAAAGATTGCGCCCCTAGCGGTCGTTTTATGAACTTGAAAATATCTTTTATCAATTTTTCTTGGCCGATTTGGTCCTCAATTTTTTTTCGCGGAGTCCTGAGGTTTATGGTTTCCATGATATCGTACCTCGCCGACCTTAGTGGGACACCCTATATGTAATGTTGTCATTACTAACGTCATTGAAGGTTGGGAAGTGTCACATTACACACCTCTACTTCCCGCTCTCACTTCCCGCCGTCACTCATGTAATAATTCAGAACGAAACAAAGATTTATTAATTTTGATCGAAATATGATGGTTGTAAATAAAATAGTACACAAACCTCGGTAGGAAGTTTCATTCCTGTCTCGAAATTATAGCTAACCTCGACGCTTTGCGTCTCGGTTAACTAACTAATCTCACGACAGAAATGAATCACTTCCCACCTCGGTGTGTAATATACTATTACCTACTACCAATATGTAATGTGAAACATTACGACACTGATTTTAGTATCGCCAACGTACCATAAGGAAGATTTTATTGGGTCTCAACACCAACAAAGCTTTTGGCTCCGACGGAATCCCACCGATTGTTCTCAAGAAATGTGCTTCCGAACTAACACCTGTTCTCTGCAAGTTGTTCAACTACTCTTACAAATTGGGGATATTCCAGTCCAACTGGAAAATTGCAAGAGTACAACCAGTTCCTAAAAAAGGCAAAAAGACCCTACCTAGCAACTACAGACCGATCACACTGCTATCTTTTATTTTAAAGGTCATGGAGAAAGCTATCAACATCGAGCTCATGAAATACCTGGTACATTCTGATATTATCAACGATAGGCAATATGGCTTTCGTCATCAGAGATCAACTGGTCACTTGCTCGCTCAGGTCTCACATTTATGGCAGCAACCTATTGAAAAATATGGTGAAACCTTAGCCGTGGCACTCCATATCTCCAAGGCATTCGATCGAGTCTGGCACCACGGACTCCTCGCCAAGCTTCCTTCTTATGGTTTGCCTCCCCAGCTATGTTCTATGCTAGCTAGTTTTCTCTCAAACAGGTCTCTCCATGTAGTGGTCGACGGAGTTACATCTGACTCTCTTATCATGAATGCTGGTGTTCCGCAAGGATCAATTCTAGCACCAACAATACATACTCCATGTAAACGATTTGTCTGAAGCAACTTCATGTCCAGTACACTGCTTTGCGGATGATAGTACCCTCCATACCGCCTTCTCTTTCAGGGCTCCAATACCAGCCAGGCAAATCAGAAACGAATGAGACAGAAATGTTGACTGCATGAATATGGACTTGGCAATAATTCTCAAATGGGGATCTAATAACTTGGTAGATTTCAATGGGAACGAAACACAAGCATGCCTTTTTTCTACAAGAGCCGATCTCACTGTGCCCAACATAAGCTTGACTGGGGTCACCATACCTTTGAAGACATCCATTTCGATGCTTGGTATTACTATCAGCAATAACCTTTCTTTGGTCAATCACGTGAGATCAATTGCTAGAAGTGCATCCCAAAAACTTGGTTTTCTGTTTCGGGCCAGGAGCTATTCCACTTCCAGTCAGATCTATATTATGAATGCAGCACCCAAACATACCCTGAAACTGTTGGATTCTGTCCAAAAAAAGGCAATTCGTCCCGTGATGCCTCGCTCACAAACTCACTCACTTCTCTGGAACACCGAAGAAAAGTTGGCGATCTGGCTCTATTTTATACAGTGCGTTCATAAAGTGTGGAAACGCTCCATTATCTTACGATATAATTATTTTCAGAGGTAAAGCTCGGACAGGTCGATTTTGTATTTCAGTCTTCCATCTTTTTTCACAAAAAAATAATTTTTTCCCCCACCACCTTACAAGATATGACGTCATCGATATTTTTTTTAAAGGGTATATTTTTATATCAAAAATTGAAAGCCCATATTTTTCTGAGTTCAACCATACCACATACGTCATCATATCTTACACTTCAAGTTACAGTATACTGAGTATAAAAGAAACCAGTGTTCATATTTCTCAACATTCATTTAATTATTTATTTTGCAATGGAAACCTGAGAATTACTCAGTAGTTAGTACGAGTATATTTGCCATACTTGAGTAGTAAGCTAGTAGTATTTTCACTACTTCTTATGATATTTTCATTGCAAATAAATAATTAAATGAATGTTGAGAAATATGAACACTGGTTTCTTTTATATTCAGTATACGGTAACTTGAAGTGTAAGATATGACGTATGTGGTATGGTTGAACTCAGAAAAATATAGGCTTTCAATTTTTGATATAAAAATATACCCTTTCAATTTAAAAAAAATATCGATGACGTCATATCTTGTAAGGTGGTGGGGGAAAAAATTATTTTTTTGTAAAAAAAGATGGAAGACTGAAATACAAAATCGACCTGTCCGAGCTTTACCTCTGAAAATAATTATATCGTAAGGTAATGGAGCGTTTCCACACTTTATGAACGCACTGTAGATATTTTCATGGACTATGCTCTTCTGAGATATCAACAATTGTACCTCCCTTGGCAGTCCCCGCGAGATTAGCCCGTCGAGTTGAGGCTTCGCACACCTTCGTGGTCACTTTGGAGACCTGCAGAACATCTCTCTCCAAAGACTCGTTCATCCAACCAACAGCGAGGCTCTGGAACACATCGCCAAGGGAGGTGTTCCCCGAGGCTTATAACCTCCATAAAATTAAGAAGAACACCAATTCCTACCTTATTTCCCTTGGTTCTCACGATGTTCTCTGAACATTACAGGATATCATTTTTCGTGGAAACCAGAACATAAAAAAAGAATCATGATCTCCGACCTCGAAAATTCACTAATACTAATTTTGTATGGAATCAAATCATTATCAGGAAACTCGTTTGTTATATTGGATCCACCATCTTGCATTGCCTAATTTCGACGAAAGAATCATAATTTCCGACTCCGAAATCCTTCAGATAACAATTTTGAATGAAATCGGATTATATTAACAAAACTCGTCTGCCATTTTGGAGCCGCCATTATGTTTTTTCAACAAAAATTTCATGATGCATTCTCCCCAGAATTATGTACACTTGAAGAGGGTCAAAATCACATTCGAAGATTCCATTACAAATGAACAAACATACATACCAATATTACCAATAAAATATATCGATATCACAAATCACCCTCATCAATGCATTAGTTGGCCTGATAACTGTTCATTTTACTTGATATTTTAGGATTTTCTCACAGGGTGTCCCATAAACATACCGACAAACTTCAAGGGATGGTAGAGGACATCAAAATAAACATTTTTGCTCGATAAACATAAGTCCGATAGTTTTCTAGATACAGGGTGTTAAAATTTTAAAAAAAATCGATTTTTTATTAATATCGTAAAAACGATTTAGTCGAATTTAATGAAATTTTTACAGATTATTGATACATTCATAAGGTATCTTTTGGAGCTATTAGAATTTGCCCAATAATTTCAGGGGCGTGCCCACGGGCTATGTCAGATAGTTTTTGCGCAAAAAAAATATCGCCCAGTAGATTTGTTGTGATTATGATATTTTTTTTTAATGAACAACTAAAAATGCAACTTTTTGTCCCCTGAAATTCTTCCGTATCTACCTTCGTTTTGAAGAAAAAAAAACCATATCTCTTACATCTATGAAAAAAAAATTAAATGATTCAAAATTATACCTTACATTTTACCAATGCGTTTATTGAAATATTGAAAAACTAATAAAACTTCCAATAACTTTTTTTTACTAATCATTAATAATTATTATTAATGACTTTTAATCATTTTTTGTATCTCGAAAACGAAGAGTTTCCGGAGTTATGTTTATCGAGCAAAAATGTTTATTTTGATGTTCTCTACCATCCCTCAAAGTTTGTCGGTATGTTTATGGGACACCCTGTATATATTGAAGAAATATCAATATTGAAATAATACGCATATTTTTATTTTATAGAAACGAGGAGAGAAAATCCCAAAAAATCAAGTAAAATGATTGTACCACCTCCTCGATTAACCTACAGACAGTATTTAATAACTATTATTCGAAAAACACTTTGTGAAGGTTCTTAAAATGAATCGGAGATTCATTTGCAGTTATAAACTGAACTATGACGATTGCTTAGCTGCTATCAACAAATTCAGTCTGAAGGATTCGTCTTTGAAATCCGTTTGCGATCATTCAGAGAAAAACTGTTCTTCTGAAGAATACCAAAACATGTACCGATCACCAGAAGGTTCCTGCAATAACGTCAAGAAGAGCAGTTTGGGAGAATCATTCACTGGATATACAAGGTACAGTTATTTTGTTATTTCTTCATCTTTGCTCCTTTGGCGAAGAAATCCAAAGCTTCACCATTTTATAGGCAAATAAAGTTTTGATAGAGAGCTGTTTGACATATTTAGAGGTAGACGACGAAATGATGTGCTGACTGGACTTTTCGAGTTTGTTTGACTGACAGCAGAGATTTCTGAAGAACATTTTCCATAGAAATACACAGGGTGTTTCTTAACCTCTCTGACAAAATGAGAGGAGCGAATGCGCGCTCAATTTTGAGATGAAAATGTTGAAAAGTGTTTTTTCGAATGTCGCTCAGTTTTGCAAATACGAAGTTTTGAGGAAATTTTTTGTGAAATCAGTTTTTTATTTTTATTTCAGACATTCCTCACCCAATTTCGTTGAAATTTGATAACGTTATTCATAAGGGACTTATTAAGCCAATAATAAAAAGAAGTTCAGTGGAATCTGGAGGGGCACATGAAATCCACTCTATTGCACGTATATCAACCAGACAAATATCCTCGTAAAAACCTATGCAAAAATTATGAAAAAAACACGAGAGTTTTTTTCTTTTGAATCGCTTGCAACAATGATCTAACTTTGAGACGAAAATATGGTATTAAAGTGTCTTGAATGGCGTTTCACTTTCGAAATACAGGCTGAGAGAAAATCTAAACAAAATTTGAAAATATTTAATTTTGAAAAATTAGCAACATACTGAAAACACTTTTGTACATTTTTGGTTGAGAAACACAATGTACAGAAAAGAGGGAAATCGCGGACTTTCCTACAATGTCAATGGACCAGTGAGTGTGGCATCACCAACCAGGTGAATGAATCGTGTCTGAATGCGGAATCTTCATTTCCATTTGCGTATGTTTGGGTACTGAACCTCACATACAGTGATTAATAATAATAATAATAATCGAATTTATTCACCAATATCAAAATAATACAATATATAATACCATGGAAAGAAAGATATGTTTATGGTGAATAGGCGAAGTATCAGCTAATTCTGTTTTTCATCTTAACCTTCGAGCCTCATCATTGGAATCTCATAAGCCGTGAAAGAAACAGGGTCGGTTGAATCATGGCAAAGTTGTCCGAATCCCTAATAGCACGCAACGTCTTAGGGATTTCCCCATTAGGTACAATTCAAGTCCGAATGTCCTGGACCTGAAATAAGTGTCCTTGGGACGTTCCATCCTGTACATCTCATGCAATGTCCGAGTGAGGACGTCCATGGAAATAGCATCCTTTAGACATGCCACGTGGTACATATTGTGTTGAATGTCCATGCAAGGATGTCCTTGGCACGTCCCTGATGGGAAATCATTTTGAACATTCTTTCAGAGACATCCATCGGATGTTCCAAGTAGTAGATATTCTGGCATGACTCCAGATCTTATATGAAGTCCCTTCTAAACAACCATGAAAGGTTCCAGATGGTATATTCCTTTAAATATCTCTGCACGGACGCCCTAAATATTTCCAGGATCGTATAACATTATAAATGTTCCTCAGGGACATCTATCGACTGTGGGATGTGTTTCGGATGTCCCAATTGTTACATACACTATCATTAGAGAGTTGAAGTAATCACTGTACGTAGACCTCCACGTAGACGTTAACGTACGAAAAATAAAGTTTACGTATTGTCGTTAAATTGAGTTGAAGTCGCCACTTTGGTCGTCACTGTCATCATAACGTAATACATTTTGTTTTCGGTTTGTATTGGTCATTTTTGGTTGTGTGTTTAGATTCGAACATTTATTCCTGTCAAAATTAGAGGACTCCTTAATGCAAAACTCGTTGGTGATCTCTAATTTGATAATTTTGACTCATCGGCATATTTTGAGTATAGTTTGGTTAACGTACATTGATATTTAAGGTATACGTGAAGGAACGTGAGATAACGTACACCCGTAAGCCCACTAACAAGGCAAACGTGAAGAATTGGAAAATGCGCATGCGTAGCTGTCAATTTCTACGTTTACGTTAACGTTCATGACAACCCTTCAACTCTCTATTACTTCGGTAGGAACTCCTATAGATAATTCACATGTTCATCTAAGTAATAAGTATGAATATATTCTTCAGGAAATATACTTATATGAGGGGTCATGGGTGAAACGTCTTATGGACATCGCAAGGACGTCTTCAGAATGTCCTGGATACGATATATTTGAAATGTGCCCTAAGGGACATCCATCGGTAGTATACATTGACATCAAGACTTTCGATAGACATCCTGTCCATGTCCTAGAAATAACGTCCTACGGACGTTCTGGTTGGTACGTTCAATATGTTGTCCCTGGGAGAACGTTGACTCACACATCCTTGGGAAACTTCTTGGAAACTCTCTTCAGGATCTAGTGGGGACCTTCTACGGACCATCAACTAAACTGGATGTCCTTATGATCAGTTATGCAAGAGCTGGTCCTAGAGAGACCCAACAAATTCGGATTCAAGAATAATTAGTACGTCTCTGGGACATCCTATAGATATCCAATTGAAGTCCCTCAGCATTGCTGATGGGTTGTTTTACGGATGTCCTACAGATGTCCTACGTAGTTCTTGATGAGAAATACTGTGGAATCTAAGTATTCGGGACATCCCTAGTTGGTCCTCAAATAGACGTCGGCGGTACCAGATTCGAACGTCCTGAATGTCCCGACAGGAGCAAAAAGCTCAAGTCATATCCAAACAAGGTTCATAAAATCAACAACAATAGTACATTTCGGCAGAAAAACAACTAATCACCTGGCTAATGCCACCCAGAATATTGAATTACATCCTCCCGAAATCTATGCATCGACTCGTATAAACGAATATTGATACAAGTGAATCTTTCCTGAATTCCAATTGATTTCGATTTAGCTAGTCGGCGGTCTTAGGATTGCTGGCTGGAGACTACCCTGCACTGATGAGAGTCGAAGAGCTCGAAACCGGTCTGGAGGTGTCTAGCGCAGCCTGGCTAAATCGAAATCAATAGGCAGTTGGGAAATAATAAATTTCTGAACAAACCTATGCATATGCAACCAGCAATACAGGACGACTTTGCAGGTTGCCAAGTTGTTTCCAAATAACAACGATTACATGATTCATAAATGCACTGATGCAAGTGATGCACATAAATTGTAGTAAAATAGATGAAAACGAATACAGTAGGCAAATGAAAAAAGGCAATGAAATACTTTGTTTATTGAATGGCTTTAGGAGCAACAAATCCAATTCCGGCAGAATTGATTTTGATGAGAGGTTTCAGCACAACCCTGTGAAGTTTGACTTGTCATATGTACCTGATTACTTGATATGGCCAATAAATTTACTACTACTACTATAGGTACACTGCTTATTATCTGATGATGAATGATAACATTTCCGTAGACTATTGGCTCCTGATTACTCCGATAACATCAATACCGTGAGAAGAGCTCGCAACAAAGATGCATTGCCAAATGCAAGAACAGTCGGTAGTACCATCATTGACGAGATCAGATTTACCAATGATCGATTGACGCTAGCTGTCATTCAATGGGGCCAATTCCTGGAACATGATTTGAGTAGATTTGCCTTTCCAGTGATGTGTAAGTATTGGCGGAAGATTATTATGCATGAAAACGTGGCCAAGAGACACTACATTGTCTTACCGCTAACCAAACCGATTTTTTTACTGTCTCTACACGTATTTTGCTATGTTATCATCTTTAGGAGAAGATCGATACTGAATATCCTATTGGTATATACTTAGTATATGATATTTCCGTCAATCTCGGCAAATATGCTACAATCTTTCAGGTGGAGGTATTCGCAATTGAATTGTGTGCTAGAGAGTTGTCGAATAAACCTCTAGTAAACAAAAATATCAGTACTGTCTGTAGGTTAATCGAGGAGGTGGTACAATCATTATTCCAAACTTTTTGGGATTTTTTCTCCTCGTTTCTATAAAATAAAAATATGAATATTATTTCAATATACGTGTAGTAAGGACAAATCAGATGATTTGCCCCAAAATGTCACTGCGTTTAAAGAATTTTCCTATCAGAGAGCCTAAAAGAAAAATTCACTAGCTTGTCAGTGACAAACTTTTTGGGATTTTTTCTCCTCGTTTCTATAAAATAAAAATATGAATATTATTTCAATATACGTGTAGTAAGGACAAATCAGATGATTTGCCCCAAAATGTCACTGCGTTTAAAGAATTTTCCTATCAGAGAGCCTAAAAGAAAAATTCACTAGCTTGTCAGTGACAATTTGTATTGAAAAATTTTTGGAGAAGAGAAATAAAGGTATATAGAAAAAATATCAAATTTTCACTTATCTTTGGACGTTTCGGGACCGATTCTGCTCCCGTTTTCAACATAAAAAGAGATTTTTTCAATTGCGAAGTCGTATAATATGTCTTGAAGCTTTTCAGTTTTCAACGACAATTGGTGACGTTGGCAATCAAATGAGTTACAGGATGTTTTCATTAATTAATCTTGAATTTGCCATTTTCATGTTCAGATTTTAGTAGTGAATACCATGTTCTGTCTATATCAACTGAACAAGAAGCAATGCTATTGTCTCCGTTCAGAAGAATGCAAGCAGATTCCTTGATTTTTCTCTTCTGGTTGTTATCTTCTTTTCCAATGATTTTAATATTATTCCACTCTGCCATATGTTGTCCGTCTTCAGTAAGGATAGTAAAGGAGCTAGGAGAGAACGGGAATCAAAACGTCACTTTTCCCATGTAAATCTCCATAAGAAAAGTTAAGGTTCATTCTGCAATTTTTTGGCCACTTCAAGGTCATCCGGCTCCGACGGCGAGCAAAGCGAGAGATCCGTTCTAGAGATAACGGTGCGCATTCCATTACATTTTTCACCCAATAATGGCTATATACAGGGTGTATGAGTTGGCTAATAGTTGGGGAAAAAATATATAGAGTGAACCCAAAAGGCGTTATACCTCCTGGACGAGTAGACTACCAGCATATAGGCTACCCGCTATAACATGATATATACAGGGTGTTTGGATAGCAATAAAAATATATACAGGGTGTCTGAGTAAGCAATAGCGATAAGAAATAGGGCGTCTCACGGGGTAGTAAACATACGTATGATATAGTATCCGTTCGATATACAGCAATAATAGCAATACAAACTTATATATAGGGCACTCGTGGCAACAAGTGAAAGTTGGACTCAGCAAAAGTGTGACAGTTGTCGCTACTTGACGATTCCGATCATTATACAGGGTGTTTGGATAGCAATAAAAATATATACAGGGGAGGCAAGAACTGACAGGCGGACCCTGCGAACATATTAACGTTCAATATATGTGTAACGTATGTCCCTACGGGACGCTCAGTTAGCATATATCAAATAACACTGTAGCACAAAACTCATAAGGCTTAGGGACGTTGAAGGTTATGGACGGTCACTATAGGTTCGACCTCTCGGAGGAATGTAAAGGAATGTTAGAGAAATAATAGGCCTTGACTTATAGACAAATATCCATTATCTAACTTCCCTATATACTGGGCGGCATTGAAGTAGATGCAAATATTTGATCGAATTATCGAATGACACAAATAAAATCTAGATATCAAAATGAAATTTGGAGGGTTATACCCCTTTTTCGGCACTGTAGCAATTCTGGCGACGCCTCTGTGCGAAAGGCACTATCATAACATGACAATAATCATTTAAATTGTTGTATACTTGATTTCTCTCTCACTTTTTATTCAGTGGATGAAATTTCTCGTTGATTATAAGAATTCTGATATCATGGGGACCTTAGGCTGTGTATCATATTGATGTAATGAAAATTAATACTCATTCCAAAAAAAAAACACCATGTCGTATACAATGCATTTCTAGTAAGACTATATAAATACCTGGGATCAATCTGAGAAGCAGAAATCCAGCATTTTCACATACACATTTTTCACAACACTGGCACTCAGCAAAAGAAAACATGCTGTGAAATCAAACTGATGTGATCGATTCAATCAACAACTGTAGGTAAAAAGTGTAGTTACGTAGTTTCAAGACTAGAAGAGAATTTGTACATAAACGATAACGCATATCGCATGCATCCTGTTATATCGATAGAGAATGTATTATTTATTCCAAATGAAACGTATATACAGGGCGAATCGAATGTACAAACCCAAATTCCAGACCACCTTAGCGTACTCAACATCCTAAGTGCACATTCACATCCCCCCCATGGAAATCTAGAATTTCATGGAAATTCGCACGGAAACACCCACACAGAAAGCGCACTGAGCATGCTGAGTGCGACATGAGGTTTGGGTTCCGGTCTCGTTAGTTTCTTTATTTTGAGTAGAAGAAACCTCCCCCTCTCGAGGCCTACTTTTAACTACTTGCGAACATGTTGGATAGGATACTAAAGATGTCGATTGAAATAATTTATTTTTCACATAATATGTACATTTCAATTTTATATTTCCATTGTTTCATCATCTGACGTCAGTGCTGATTGAATTGAATGATGGCCCCAGGGTAGAGTTTCAGTAGTACCAGGAATCAAGTATCGTTTATCATCAGTCGCGCTCAATGCTATCTTCTGCTGGGTGGTTGAAAATACGACATGTTTTTGAGCTCTGATGAAATTTTGAGAAACCTCCATATGTTCAGATGTTTCCAAACATTTAACATAATCTTCGAAAGTGATATTCGTTTCAACTACAGACGATTTCACACCTTTAGCTTTCTTTGTAACACCCATATTCCTTATGATCTCATTGATTTCATCCTCATCATAATCATCCGCGTGCAACTTTGCCCTCTTCTTTGCAATATCATCATCAGTTACCAGCACCCTCGTCGAGTATAATTTTGATCGGAGTCCCACATAATCGGTCATTATGGCAGAATTGCACTCATCCTTCATTTTTCCCAGTACTTTCTTATTAACAAGTGGTATGCCATGGATGTTATCTTCAGGATAGTCTGAAGTATCAAAGTGGGTATGGCAATCTCGCTTCATGACTTCATAGGGATTTTTATGAAGCTCATAGATGAGCGAGTCTGTGTCGGTGTAGCATACGCTACAATCATCACCAAATATTTTGGACATGTATCCATAATGAAAATCGTATATGGTTGTTTTAGCTAGATCGAGAATGGTCTGACCAACGTAAATGGGTTTGTTCAACCATATCTCCAATTTCCTGAGCTCTACTGCAACCAAATTCTCATTGAAAATGGTACAGTTTTTGAACTCTGGTTTTGAAATATAGGCCTCAGCACCATATCGCCCCACCCACTCCGTTAGAAGTCTAACGTTGACCCTCTTTCGTATGTTTTCCATAGTCTTACCGAAAACAGCATTATTCATTAATTTATAGAGATTTTTCTCAAATGTATTTGTTGCGGCAGTCCTCAAAGAAGTATTCAGATCTATATATGATCTCAGCCACATTGATTGCTGAAACTTGAGGACGCGATGAATTTTGGTCAGGACCAACCCATGCTCCAGCGCTTGTTTGAGGGCTCGGTAGTGGAGGACGTACTTCTCCTTGCAGCGTAGGGTTGCCATCAGCTTGGTGGGCTGAGAAGATCTTGTCGGAGGTTTCATAGTTTTCGGGTCGATGTGTTCGGGGCAGAATGGTATATCTTTGTGGGAATCATGGAGGTGTCTAGGATATTCTAGGTCAACCTCCAATATGTATCCTTCTGAAGCGTCATCAGGAATTGAAGTTACATCTATGTTGGTATCAACCCATTCAAAGCCTCCATATGGCAACGCCTGAGACATAGCCCATCCATACTGGTTGTTTACGTCATAATACATTAAGTATGAATCAGGCTTCGTGGGATCATAGGAAGGCATGAACTTGTTGTTCGCTTTAGCTCGACGTTTTGAGCAAATTTGGCTGAGGCCTCCTCGAATTCCTCTTTCGACAAACAAAAACATATCCACATCAGTGAGAAGCTCCAACTCTTGTCCAGTTTTATACAACATACAATCCCACGTGTATCCTGGTAGTGTGAAATAATGGGCAGGATCCAGACCGTAGGTATTGTGGCAGCTAGATCGAAACTTCTCGAAAACATCGGCCAACAGCATGATGTCAGTCTTCATGTATAGGTCAACATATTGGCCCAAGTCTTGACAATTGAACTTTGACCATACCTGCTTGGCGCGAAGGTAGTGTCTGCGTGGGCAGGGCTCATCTTTCAGTTTATTGTGGAAGGATTCGATAGGTGGTAGCTGAGTTTCGTTGAAGCGTTCAAATGAGTCGATGTAATCATAGGGCATCACTCCTTTCTTGGTTAATACTTGAAAATGTTCTTCTGGAATTCCACGGAATTGCGATAGCAAATTTGGAAATTCTTCTAGATATGATGCCAACTTGTCTAGAGAAGAGTTCATGAAACGAAACGAGTCAATGAAACGAAACTGAATAGAAGTCTCATCGACATGTTTCGTAAAGGAGATGTATTTTTCTTTAGTAATTGGCAACAAATCGACTTGACCCTTCATTTTAGATGCAATATCCTCAATGATGAAATTCGCGTCATATCCTATCAGGTTGTGAAAAACAACAGGAACTACATGGCTATCCTGGTATCG